ATGAATCCCATGGGTTTTCCCTGTATATATAATGCCCAATATGCCTATGGTCTTAATTGGGAATAATCAACATAGACTCTACTTTCTAAATAATAAGGAACATAGTCTGCGCATACATATTATTTATGATGAGAAAAATCAACCAATATATCCAACACCACACTAAAGCTCAGGAAAGCAAGCTGGAGTCACTTTGTAAAGTGTTATGCCAGTGGTTTCAATGACAAAGGGAGAAAGAGAACACAAAATTTTAAAAATACATGCAGGTTGGGACAGACCCAAAGGGGCCTAAATCTGGGTTAAGCAGTTTGGACTTTCTGTCTAGCAACAGAAGCATTGCTGGGGGAATTTTAGCAGCAGAATTATAGGACCAAAAAAGATATTTCAAAAAGACAAAACTAAGGAATGTCAAAGATGGGGGCCAGTATTGTGGCTCACTTGGTTAATCCTCCGCCTGCGGCACCAGCATCCCATATGGGTGCCGGTTCTAGTCCTGGTTGCTCCTCTTCCAGTCCAGCTCTCTGCTGTGGCCCAGGAGGCCAGTGGAGGATGGCCCAAGTACCTGGGCCCCTGCATCCGAATGGGAGACCAGGAGGAAGCACCTGGCTCCTGTAGCTCTGGCCATAGCGGCCATTTGGGGAGTGAACCAACGGAGGGAAGACCTTTCTTTCTGTCTCTCTCCTCTCTCTCACTGTCTATAACTTTCTACCTGTCAAATAAAAAAAAAAAAATACCAAAGATGTTTTCAGTTTTCAAGTATAAACCAAATGATGGACAGAGGGATCAAGGAAGAGGACCTGTGACACTTGGGGTTGAGATAGGGCAGTGAAAGAAGTGGGAAGCAGAGATGGATATAAGACAACTTTAACAAGGAAGAATTTCTAGGACTTTCTGCCTGGTGACTAATCTCTGAGTAATATTGGAGGAGTGCAGTAGGAGGACAAAGAAAAATAGAAAATGAGAGGGAGGACTATGAAATTATTTCCAGGGCAACAGAGAAAATGATGGTACTATTAATAGAAACAAAGGTACATCTGACATCTCTTGGTGCAAAAGAGTTTTTCTTTGTTAAAATGAGTTGAGATGGGCTACTCAGGGAGAAGTGATCCACAGTCTATAGAAACATCAAGTTAGAGTTCTACTTGAGAACTACAATGCAACCAGGGAGGCAGTTTGATTTAAAAAGTTGTCCAGGTGTTGCTATGCTAATGGAAGGACTTCTGTTTCCAAGGCAAATTCACCCAACCATGTTCTTGGCAGGGGGGGCGGGAGGGTCACAAGAACACACACAAACTGTAAATAAGATTCAATTTATGGTGTGTGTGTGTGTGTGTGTGTGTGTGTTTTAAGATTTATCTATTTACTCAAGAGTCAGAGTTACAGAGAGAGGGAGAGACAGAGAGAGGTCTTTGATCCACTGGTTCACTCCCCAAATGGCCACAATGGCTGGAGCTGGATCAATCCGAAGCCAGGAGCAAAGAGCTTCTTTTGGGTCTCCCATGTGAGTGCAGGGGCCCAAGCACTTGGGCTACCTTCTATTGCTTTCCCAGGAGCACTAGCAGGGAGCTGGATTAGAAGTGGAGCAGTCAGGACTTGAACCAGGGTCCATATAGGATGCTTAACCTACTCAGCCACAGCACCAGCCCCTCATTGAATGTTTAATGAGGGAAAGGCAAGAATGTAAATCCGCTGTTCCTCTTTATAGCATTATTTTTAAATAAACAAACAAAATGAAAGTTGTATGCTATAGCATATGGTATTTGAAGAATAAGGAAGATTGCCCAATTATTTTCTTCTTGAAATGTCAATATTTGGGGTCTGGTGTTTGGCACAGTTGTTAAGATGTAGCTTGAGGTATTGAATATCATGTCATAATGCCTGGGTTCAAAGCCTAGCTGTGGTTCCCAATTCCAGCTTCCTGCTAATACAGGCCCCGAGAGGCAGCAGGTGATGGCTCAAGTAGTTGGGTCTGCCTGGCCCAGCCTCTGCTGTTTCAGGCATTTGGGAAATGAACCAGGAGATGGGAGATTTCTCTTTCTCTTTCTCTCTCTCCTCCTCTCATTCCATCCCTTCACATTAAAAAAAAAAATCAATATTTGCATATAAAAAGGAAGAGGTATGAATTTCAGTGTCTAACAATCTAATGACTGACCTCAATTTCCTCATCTGTAAGAATGAATGAACCTAACTATCCCCACTAGTTCCCTACCAGTTTGTAGTATAGAATGAACTGAGACATAAGTAAAAGTACTTTGCAAATTATGAAAAAGGGGTCGGCAGCAGGTTAACCCACTGCCAGCACCCGACAGGAGGGTCAGTTATCCAGCTCCCTGCCTAGCAGATGTTTAACTACTTGGGACCCTGCTACCCGTGTGGGAGACCCAGAGGGAGTTCCAGGCTCAGCCCTGCCCATTGCAGCAATTTGGGGAGTGAACCAGCAGATATGTCTCTGTGTATCTCTTCCTCTCTCTCTGTAATTCTACCTTTCAAATAAACAAATAAATCTTTTAAAAATGAAAAAATTATACAGTTGGAAGTCGGTGCTATTTCATAGCGGATAAAGTCACTGCCTGCAACACCCGCATCCCCTGTGGGCACTGGTTTGTGTCCTAGCTGTTCCACTTGCAATTCAGCTACCTGCCAATGCACCTAGGAAAGCAGTGGAAGATGACCCAGGTGCTTGGGCCCCTGCCCCTACATGGGAACCCCTAAAAATGTTCCTGGTTCCTGGCTTTATTTTGGCCCAGCTCCAGCCATTGTGGCCACTTGGGGAGTGAACCAGTGCATACAAGCTCTGTCTCCCTTTTTTCCCCTTGGAAAGCTTATGATAACAGCAATAACAACCATAAATCCAGCTGGTAATATTATAAATGATAATATTTAATTTAGGGGATCTGGGATTCAATGCCTGTTAAATTGAAGAGTACCTTTTAACAAAATTCAGCACAATTTTACAATAATTTTTGTTTAATCTGAGAAACTCAGTAAGTAGAAACCTTTGCATATATATTTTGTATATATATGCATATATACACATATTACATATGTATATATTCATATACTTGAAACAATAAAAACTTCATTGGCTTCCACTGTTTAAGTTAGACTAGGGAGCCTTAGGTATAACCTATCACTAACAAAGTTACTGACAAGCATTCCAGAATGTTATAGGAAACCAAATCTTCATTCAGTTTTACCAGTGAAGGCCATAGGTGAGGTCATTAAACATGCAAGGTCACAGTATATCCAGTGATCACAATGACTACTCAGGGATTACCATCACTCCCTGTAATTAGTGGTGGCAGATATCACCAATAGTTCAATGTTAGTGCATTTTCCATGGTAAAGACATTTAAATGTCTATCATTTTATCAGATAACTTCAGTAAACTCAGAGGATGGTGGCAGAATTAGCAGCCCTCAACTCTCTCCTATTTAAATACCACCTCCACAAAAGAAAAGATTTTGGAAATGACTAAAATTTCTGTACAATTTACATCTAAAAGTACACACCTGGGTGAAAGTAAAATGTGCAGTACTCTAAAGGCACACAACTAAAAATATCTGGAAACAAAAAATGTTAACAAGGAGAACTAAAATGATTAGTAAATCTACTGTGAAGGTGGCAAATGCTTCCCTAAAGTTAATGAATATTTTTATCTTGAAAAATCTGTTTTCAGATTTCCCTGAACAGGAAGCAGTTTTCAGTAGAATGCACAAAGCTGAGTTCACTACAAAAAAAAAAAAAGAAATAAAGAGAGAGAGAGAAGAAGAAAAGCCTAGTGTCCACTAATCGCATACAATGTATATATTTCTACAAAGGTTGTTACAAATGAATTACAATCAGCAACATTCTAAAAAATGTTGAGAGCAAATCCTAATGAACGCTTTAATAGTCATAGAAAAATATTCAGTCCACTCTCAAGTTAGGCTTGTATGTATTGGAAAAATGGTCCTACTCAAGCAAGTACTGACCATCAAAATGATCCTGTTCCCACTCCAGAACAATAAAGGATATTATATAAAGAAAATTCAGAAACAAAAGTTACTAAAAGTTCTAAGAGTTCAGAAAGAACGCTGAGACGAGCTTCCCTCTCGAAAAGACTTAAACGTAAAACATCCCAGGAGCACTCATTAAATCAGAATTTCTAACGCGAGTATGGGGGTGGGGCGATGAGAATGATGTCAGCGCTCAGTAAAGTCACAGACAACTTTGAATCCAATAATGACAATAACTGTTGCAAACCGCTACGGTCTTTGCAACGCAGACCGATGGCCATTTGAAAACGTACCTGAGTTTTTACATTCTGCGATATCCAAACGACCGGCAGTGAGCGAAAACTCAGCAAAAACCCTTGTTCTTTCTGAACAATGACCTAAATAGTGGCTCGCTATAAAAAGAGCAGATGACACATTCATCTGTTCAACCTCAAATGCGTCAAGGTCTGACAGTACCAGAGATAAGACACAACCAATGTAATACAACAGGGTCATTTTAGTTCCCCGAATGTCTGGAAAAGGAGAAGAAACACAGAGTGCAAGGCATCAAGAGTGGGGGAGGGCTCGTTTGGGGAGAGCGGAGAGGACGGGCGTCGAGCCTGGGAGGCAGGAAAGGGCTACTGAGAAGGCTCACTGGTCCCGGAGGGAAAGACGCTTGGAGACCAAATGGACACCGGCAGGCGCGGAGCGGGGTCGGGCAGGACCCGGCTTTGTGGATCCCCACTCTGCCCGAATCTGCAGCGCAGGTTCGCTCCGACGCTGCCCTTCTGCCCCCAACCAATTTTAAGAGGTGACGAGAGGTGGGGAACTGGGTGGTGACCGCTTAGAGAGTTCAGCTTCTCCCAAATATTTCATCCATCCAGGACATAAACCGTCCCGCGGGTGAGGAGGGCGAGACAGGCAGACGCCCGGATCTCCCCGAGACCAATCCCCGGGGGAAAACGCAGGGTGGGTGCGCGGTGGGGGAAGGGGCCGGCGGGCGGTCCGAGCGCAGCCACTTACGAAGACGCGCTGGGCACGAAAAAATCCACCGCGAAGCCGAAGTAACTTCCCTCGGGGCCAGAGTACTCGGTAGGGCTGTCCACGTCTAGGTTGAAGGCGCCGCAGAGAGGTAGCAGGAGTCCGGGAAGAAGCGGCAGGAGGCAGCGAGGGCGAAGGCTCAGCCGCCCCGGCAGCGAAGCCATCGCCGAAGTGCGCGCGGGGCGCCCAGCCCGGGGCGCACGGTGCCCGCGGCCCGCCGCCTGCGCGCGCCTGAACTTGCCCGCCGCTTGCTTCCCCGCTACCCTGCGACAGCGCCGGGGCAGGCGGGCGGGCTGAGCTTCGCAGCGGCCGCGGGAGGAGTGGGGTGCAGGGCGCGTGGGGCGGCGACGACGGCGCAGGCGGCCCCGGCCCCCCTCCCGCTTGACCGCTCCAAGTCGAGACTCTGGCTGGGGGCCGCGGGGCTGAGCGCCGCACCTCTGGCCGGGGAGCTGCGGCGGGCAGGGGGAGGAGGCAGCGGAGGGGGAGGAGGCAGCGGAGGGGGAGGAGGAGCCGGCCCGGAGGCTGAGCCGCCCAGCCTGAGGAGGAAGTGGGCGGAGAGTTGTCCTCGGACTAGGGAGAGCTGAGCGCACTTCCGTGCGTCCTGTCGCCGCCTGTCCCGAGCCCCAGGCGCCTGTGCCAGGGTTCCAACCCCAAAGAACCTGGGTGGGCGGCCGGGCGCAGCACGAGGGCCTCAGGCCGAGCACCACGAGCTGGCGGGCCGATGAGGTCCAGTGTCCCGACCCTCTCGAGTTCGCCCGAGTCGCAAGGACGCCCCATAACCCTGATCCCGCGGGGAACTTCCCTGTGACTTTTGTTTAGAAGTGCGGAAAACTTGATCCGCTCCTCCTGTTTCTGCAACTGAGCTTGGCTGGCTCTCGTCAGCGAAACTCTAATTAATGCTCCTTTTCCTCTCCCACACACAAACACCAAAGTAATTACCAACTTCCCCAACGCTGGGCTGGTGCAGCCTCTCCTGAGCGTGGTGTGTTACAGCTGAACGAAATAGTCACACCAAAGCAGTGTCGAGTCAAAGATGAGCAATGATGGTTTGCAATCAAGTCAGAATGGCCGAAGCCTTATTCCGAATGGGGTTGTTCAAAGACATCACAAAACTGCTTCTTTGATTTTAGGATGCTTAGGTAGACAAATTTCAGAACTGGAAGAAGGAATATGCATCATCGAGAAATAAGTGGAGTGGGGTGTGTGTGTGTTTATTCCCAATATCTAGCCGCTTGCTAAGCAGATAGTAAGCTGTCAATAAAATGTTCAAGCATTGAATGAATGGCAGATGAGTAAACTTTGCCCAGAGAACTGACTTTCCCGTACGGCATATAATATGCTAAAAAATTTGGTGAACGGAATAAAGTAGAAGAACATTGTGTAGAGCTTTAAAATTTACAAATACTGCCATAGTAATATTGGACCTGTTGCCCAAAGTAACTATTAAAACTCAATCACAATATATATCACTCTCATTGTTAAATAATCCTCTGAAGGATTATGTATATAAATTGAAATGAAATCCAAACTTGAAATTAGCCTTAAATAGTCTGATTTTTAAATTTAAAAAAAAAGATAATGCAGAAAAATCATTGGTTAAACAAGCCATTGTAAACAAGCCATTGTACAGCATCTGCCTTAAAGAAGTTACCAATAGAGATAACAAATCCTACAGCTCACTTACCCATAAATACAAATACACCATTCTCCTCTCTATGTTGCCTAATGCACTTAAGATGCCCGGGATAGGTGTGTGGATGCGTAAAGCCAAAGAATTTTTTTTATACCTAAAAGCCTGAGAACCAACCCACATGGAAATCCATTCAGGGAAAGAGTTCAGTAATGTCTGGCTAAACCAGTAAATTTCCCATTGCTCAACTCCTCATCCCAGGACAGAGGTCTCACCAAGGGAGGGGGGAGGAACATGGGAGAAGCAGGAAAAGGAAGAAGTCAATGGTACCACACACGCCCCCACAAAAATCTGAGTGAACACCACAACGGTAAGTAAGCCTGCAAATAGCTACTAAAAGTGCTTTTTCTTGAGTCATTCTTTGTGACTTCTTTTCAAATGAGCAGTCTCGCAAGTCAAGGAATTTGTTTAAAAAGCACACGCACATACATTTCTATTAGGAGACAATAAAGTTGACTAACGCCGTGCCTTTAGGAACTTAGGGTTATAAATGCAGGCATCTTTGTGTTACCATGCTTGAGCAGTCATCCGTGCAGTGCCTTGCAAATGTACTAGAGAACATATCAATTCTGCCAGCACTTACTTGAGAATCTACATTGTGCTGCGTACTGTGTGCATGGGAGAGGGAAAAAGCATGTTTTAGACTGGAAGAAAAGCAACGCCCAGCTGCTCTTTATACCACTACTTGTACTCTTCCTGTACATCCCAGCAACTCTCCAACTCATCTGCCTTATCTACATTGAGCAGAATCCTTTCTTATATAGAAAATATTAGGTAGCAAAAAGAATTTTTAAATTTTTATGTATTTCTTTGAAGGGCAGAAGGATAGGATCTCTCATCTGCTGGTTGCTTCACCACCACCATCAGTATGCTCCCCCAGCCCTCTACCCCCGCAGCTGAAGTTTACAATACCTGGGGCTGGACCAGGCCAAAGCCAAAGCCAGGAGCTCCTCTAGGTCTTCCACATGGGTGGCAATGATGTAGAACAGGGAGGCAGCTAGTTTAGGATTTCTGAACAGAAAGTCACAAGCCCTACCCCACCCTAACTCCCATCCCCACCCCCAAACCATGTGTAATTATTTTCTTCTAATTGAAAAAAAAAAAAAAAAAAAAAGTGCTCCCTTTCCTGGGATGTGTCTGCTTCATCCAGGACCTGGGGTAAGACATAATGGAAATATGGATATTGAGCTCCTTGTGGTAGTTATGGAGGACCATAAAACTCCCAGGTGGCCTCATTCCTATGGAGGCACACTCCACCCCAACCCTGACCTCATAAAATAGGCCAACAACTGGGGAGGAGTCTCTCTTTCACCAAAGACCACAGCTGGAGGGACTGTTAGGTGGGCTTTCTGCTTCCACTCCACCACCCCTTTCTCCTTTTGGGCCTGCTGTCCACTCATAAAATGTTTGGAGGGGTGGGCATCCCACACTACCTTGTGTATGTGTGTTCTCTTTCTCGCCTTTTAAATAAAATTTGTTATTTTAAGCCTGTACTTGGAATGCCTCTCTAGGTACAAGGCAAGAGCCTGGAAAAAAATTAATAATCCACACCCCGCCACTTCAGCAGAAACCCAACTATTGAACCATCACCTGCTGCCTCCCAGGGCATGGGTCAGCAGGAAATTAGAATTGGAAGCAGAGCCATTACTCCAACAAAAGCACTCAGAATGGGGTGCAGGCATCCCAATGAGTGTCTTCACCCGTATGCCAAATGCCTGCCTCAGTAAAAAGAATTTTGACTTTGAATTTTGCCTCTAATCCACTGTCCTTTAGTTAAAAATCTTGATGCAATTGGTTTCTATAAATTCAAGCATCTGGATTCAATTCCTGCCTTCACCAACTACTCATTGTTGACCCTGGGAAAATTGATCCAACCATTCTGTATCTCAGTTTTCTTATCTATAAAGTGGAAATGATAATGTCACCTATGTTGTATAATTAAACAGCCTTTGCTGCCATCAGTACTTCTGTACTGTACTTAGCACAGTAGTAAATTCGTGTGACTATTACTAGGCTCTTAGTTCTCCTAGTACATATTCAACAACTGTTGAAGCTCCTTCAACAATCATAATTAAACCAGGGTTCCAGGGCTGGCATTGTGATACAGAAGTTAGGCCACCACCTGTGAGGCCAGCATCACATATTGGAGTGCCCACTGGAGACCCAGCTGCTCTGCTTCTGATACAACTTCCTGATAATGTCCTGGGGGCAGATGATGGCTCAGGTACTTGAGTTCCTGCCACCCATGTGGGAGACCTGCATAGAGTTCCAGGCTCTTACCTCCTACTTCGCAGCCATCTGGAGTATGAATTAGTGGATGAAAATTTGTGTGTGTGTGTGTGTGTGTGTGTGTGTGTGTGTGTGTGAGGGGGGGGGGGGAAGAAACAGAGTCTTTCAAATAAATAAATAAAAATAAACCCATGTTCTACTTTGCTTGTACACAAAGGAGTTCAGTCCAGTTATGCCAAAACAAGAGAAATTTCAAAATTTGCATCTCTAAGCACATCCATAGGGCCAGCATTGTGGCACAGCAGGTTAAGCTGCTGCCTGTGATGCCAATTCGTGTCCCAGCTACTCCACTTCTGATCCAGCTCCCTGCTAATGCTACTGGAAAAGCAGTGGGAAAACGGGCCCCTGCCACCCATGTGGGCAGCCTGGATTAAGCTCCTGGCTCCTGGCTTCAGCCTTGCCCATCCCTGGCTATTGTGGCCATTTGGGGAGTGAACAAGCAGATGGAAGATCTCTCTGTGTGTGTCTCTTCCTCTCTTTATATAACTTTGCCTTTCAAATAAATAAATAGAATTTTAAAAATTATTTTATTATTTACTTCAGAGATGGAGTCACGGACAATGAGAGAGAAAGGTCTTCCATCACTGGTTTACTCCCCAAATGGCTGAAATGCCTGGAGCTGGGCCAATCTGAACCCAGGAACTTCTTTCAAATCTCGCACATGGGTGCAAGGGCCCAAGTACTTGGGCCATCTTCTACTGCTTTTCTAGGCCATAGCAGAGGGCTAGATGGGAAATGGAGCAGCTGAGATACAAACCGTGGTGCCCATATGGGATGCTTGCACCAAAGGCAGAGGCTTAGCCCACTGTACCACAGCACTGGCCCCAATAAATAGATCTTTAAATACACACACACACACACACACACACAGATCCAGGGAGATTCAGTTCCTAACCCACAGGAACTCTTCTGAAATCCCCTCTACTCTCCATTTCCCCAGAACTTTCATTCCACTCCGCCCAGTCCTGGAGTTTTTATTGCTGTAGTTTATTTGTCTAACTCTCTGGCCTCTGCTCTCTTAGTGATTTATTAGGGAGTCTGAGTTGGCCTCTGTGGTTTCACTCTCACCCCCCCTGCTGCCTTTCCTTATATGATCTGTATTTGAAAAAAACCCAGATAACACTTGTGCACCTTGGTGACTGAAAAAAAGGTGGCCAAGAAACTGATCTTTTTGGACCTCATTTCTTAAAACTATCCCTTGAATGCTAGAGTTCCCTAAGGTTCTGTCCTTGATTTGCAGTATTTCTCATTCTACATCCGTAAGAGGAGCTTATTCACTGTCATGCTCTCAACTACTACCTCTTACCAGTCCCTACCTCACAAAGGAATTTTAACCATGCTGAATTACTTAACAGTTTCCCCAGAATGCCATTTTTGTTCATAGGGCACCATCTTCCTGGAAAACATTAGCCCTCCTCTGCCACCATTTCCCCCAGCCTCCGGTCACATACAAACCTGCACAGTCTCCTTGAAGTGGCTAGTTCCAATTG